CAGCAGAAGCAGCGGAGCATGCACCCACACAGGACTGAGGCTGCTGTCCACATTCTTCGTGTCCTTCACGTTTTCGACAGGAGAAGCAGCGGTGGCAGGCTTGTTGTCTGTCGCCTCATCGGACCCAGCTTTCATGGAAGATGATCCAGATGATCCCAGATTTGGCGTTTCTCCGCCGGTGTTTGCGCCAGAAGCCATGGTGCCAGGTGGCGTGTTGCCAGATTCCGGTGCAGTGGAAGCATCAGCTGGGGAAGACTCATTTTCAGCAGGTGCACCCTCAGAAACGGCCGTCTGTGCGTTGTCTTTTAGGGCGCCATCTTTCACATTCTCGTCTTGTTTCAAATCTTTTTCCTTTTGCACAATATCAGCTTTCCTCCCTGTTTCGCTTATCACCTTTCTGTTGCCGACGTCCTTTTCCCCCAAGTTGCTAGCAGGCGTGTTGGGCGCGTCAGACCGCTCACTCGTTGGCCGTTGAGACGTGACAGGCTCCTTAGACCCCGAGCCGCCGCGGTGGGATTCACCGACTCCACCGTTCAGTCCGTCCGTTCGGGTCCCCAAATTTTCTTGATGTACTACTTTCTCCTTAGACACACACTTCGGCGGATCTCCAGAAACAACCTCATTGTCAGAGCAGACGACCTGAGCAGTACTTATCTGCTGTTCGTTCAATTCAGTTTCCAACTGGCCCGCCTTNGCAGAATTCCCGCATTTTCCGCCAGTTTCTTTGCACACCACACCTGTCGCAGGGTCCGCAGGTTTTTGGCATCTCTCCGCCTCCTTGGGCTCACAAGACGGAGGTGGAGAAACAGTCTTGCATTCTTCACGCAGAGGACCCTCATCCTTGTTACAACCATCATCCACCAAACGGCCGTCCGTGAGGCCGCTACCGCCGCAACCCTCTGCGGCATCCCCCTCCGTCTGAGAGCACTCATTCCTAACATCATCTGATGAATCGACCTTTGATTGCGAAGAACTCTCTTGAGGTTGCAATAAATCATGACCACCTGCGCCATCGGTACTTGCCGCACACCCGCAGGCGCACCACGCACACAGCGCACACACCAGCAGCACGCAGCGCATCGTCATCACCGTATTCTTGATCTGCGCAATGAGTGGGGGCAGGCAGAAGAGGTCAGTGCGCTGTGCACAGCAGAGGCTCCAGTCCGCCACTCAGGCACCATCACCACCCGCAGACGGACACCCACACAAAACAAACACAACAATACGCGAAGCCGAAGCGTGGCAGGGCTGTGGTGTGCTGTGCCCACAGGAGCACTCCCCAACAGCAAAGCAGCAAGAAGAAAACCAGATGTATCAACCCCCCGAATGTGTGTCCCTGCCCCACACCCAACACACAGCTGCAGGCATTACACAACAAGCCCATCAAGCACCGCAGAACCATTCACACACACACACACACAAGTGAGTGGGCGGCGAGGGAAACACACCGAAGGGAATTAAAGAGCCGCAGCACACATGCGCCCAACACAAATCTTCCCCACAAAGCAAGTCTCTTAATAAAGAATCGGCACCCAATCAAAGTGCATGCAGACATCCTGCTACTGCAGTGTGGATATACTCGCACACACACACACACAGAATAAAAGGGTTATCGTACTCCACGAGCACATGCAGGCAGAAATGAAAAGCAATTAGGATTAAACGCACCTTCCACTCCACACCACGAGGATGCCACACACACAAAGCAAAGAAACAACCACACAAAGGGGCAGCAGTTGAGCCCCAAGCAATCATTAGGAAGAGAAGGGGGATAAATACATCCACCATGAGCTCGCAGCATACACACAGAGAGAGAGCGAGGAGGCATGTTACTTGTCCACGATGCTCATCACACAGCCGTCACTGCAAACAACG